GGCCTTGCCCACACTGGCCAAGCAACTCCTCCCACTGAACCCAGCTGAGCAGGGCAGAGCCTAGTGCTGAGTTGCTGGATTACTTTTCTGGCAGCACTTTGTCCGGAGCCTCTCACGGTACCTGGGAAGAGAACTTTTTTCCAGCAGCTCAGGCTACAGTAAGACACTGGGTATGACTCACCCAGAGGTGAAGGCCAAAGACACCCATAGTATATAGTCTCTCTCTCTCTCTAGTCTATATAGCCTATAGTCTATACTACAGCATATGGTACATAGAATCCTTCCTTTTGCTTATTTGTCCAGTTCATCCTTTACAAATTTAGTTAACATATATTCTCATCTCAAGGACTTTGCTTCTTTATACCTTAATTTTTTCAGCTCTACATGGGGCAGTGCCAACTTCAGAAATTCATTGTGGATGAATCTAAGGATTATCATTCACTCACTCATCAAGTAGTGGGTGTAAAGTGCCAGGACTGTCTAAAGGCTAAGGACAACAGTGACCAAGGGACCCTCTCCCTTGGAGCAGATTCTCAAGGACATGCTAATGGGCAGAAGAAAACAACAAACAATAAAAGCAGCACACTGGTCCTCAGGAAGGGCTTCACTAAGGAAGCGACATTTCAGCAAGGCCCCGAGGAGCAGGACGGAGGCCAGCACTGGAGGAGAGGTGCAGGATGGGATGCTGTGCCCCTTTGCAAGGCGAGCTGGGAAGCCTTCATGGCTCAGGACTAGGAGTAGTAGGATCTGCTTCTGACAGGAGTCACTCTGCTCCCTGTAGGCTGAAGGGGAAGAGGACAGGGTGACGATTAGGTTGAGAGTTTATCCTATTCAGGGTACAGTTGTGGGCCCAAGTGGCCAGAAATCCTGAGTTCTGGGTATTACTTTTATTGTGGTACCAGGGATTGAATTCAGGACCCTTGGGTATTACTCTGGAGGTAGATCAGAATTATGTTCATGTTAAAAGTCAAAGCTCCAAAAATCACAATTCATAAAATAAATTGTTGAATTGTAACAAAATTAAAAACTCCTGTGCTTCAAAAGATGCTATAAAGAAATGGAAAAGATAAGCCACAGGATGAGGAAAAAATTTATAAAGCCTGTATCTGATAAAGGCTTGTATCCAGAATATAGAAAGAACTCTTGTAACCCAGTAATTCAAACTACCCAATTAAAAAGCGGACAAAAGATTTGAATAGACATTTCCCAAACCAGATATATGCATGGCTAGTAAGGACATAAAAAGATGCTCAGCATCATTAGTCTTCAGGGAAATGTAAATTAAGACCACACTAACATACTACGTCACGCCTACTAGAATGGATACAATCAGAAAGACAGACAATCCGGCCAGGGCGTGGAGAAATGCAAATCTTTGTACATTGTTGATGGGAATGTAAAATGGTACAGTCACTTTACAAAACAGTTTGGCAGTTTCTTAAGAAGATAAATATAGGGGCTGGTGAGATGGCTCAGTGGTCTAAAGCACCTACTTAGAACAAGCTTAGCAAAGCACAGGGAC